TAGCTATTTTTTCAAAGATTTGCCTTTTGCTCACACCTAAGGTACATTCTACTTCAGTCCTCCAAAATGCAAATGCCTTCTTTGATGAAACAGGATGTTGGAATTACCAGGAGCCAGCTAAAAGATAAATACTTTATCTTTTGCTAACTTACTTCAAATGTAAATTTTTTTCTCCATTGAAGGTAACCTATTTTGTGAAAACTATGAAACCTTGAAATCTGCTTAAATGGTGAAGCTTTAAGAATTCACAGTCTGAAACTCTGAAATAATCAAGTGCCTTTTTTTTTTTGATCCCAAATGCAGAAATTATTTAAGAGGAAGGGAGGAAATAAGGGACTAAGGAAGCCTGGATGCATGCAGGAGATCTGGTTTGACCCTGGGCCCAAGACTTCAGGCCCTGAACACCACTTTGAACAGTCGGGAGAGTGCTAGGAAGATAGGCTCAAAGTAAAACAAGCATATAAAAATCATAACCTTTAAAGTCTTCTCAAAAAATGTCTAAATATTATGATTTTATCTTTTTGGGTCACACCCAGCGATGCTAAGGGATTACTCCTGGCTTTGCACTCAGGAATTATTTCTGGCGGTGTTTTGGGGACCTGGGAACCTTATGGGTTGCCAGGGAACAAACCCAGGTTGGCCACATGAAAGGCAAACACCCTACCAGCTGTACTATCACTATGGCCCCCGTAAATATTATGAGTTTTTACAAAGATGTATCTACCAGAATTAGAAAAGCAGAGAAAAGACAAGCCAATAGCAAGGTTCAGTAACAAATTCATAAAAAAAAAATAGAAGGTATTGTTAATTTCCAAGACGCAGAATATCTTCTTTAATTATGACAATGTGGGGCCTGAGAGATACTCTAGTGGCTATGGCACTTCTAGAATACAGATGACACACGTTCAGTCTTCTGCACACCTAGAGCACTGCCAAGAGTAAATTGTATGTAATTTACTTAATATGAAACAAGTTTTATTAATTGACTGATTGATAATAATACATACAACTATGAAATTATACGTAATTTACTCTGAAGAATCAAATAAAACAATCCCCCACCAGAAAGATAAAAACTTATAAAAATACTAAATAGTCGTACTTTGTGGTGCAATAGGGCCTCTAGAGTAATGATCTAAGAATATAAATTGATATGATCACTTTAGGAGACATATTTTCATTAGTTATGAAAGCAAAAAAATAAATATGTATCAAACTGGAGTCATTCTTTCCTAGATCTAGATCAGTGAGAGATGTCTATGCAATTGTTTAGAAAAAAACCAAAAAGAAAGATGGACTCAAATGTTCATCAATCAGAAATGAAAAAAAAAATCATTGTGGACCATTCATACAAGGGAATAATACCAATTAAAATAAATACCTCCCAAAACATACAGAATTTTTACAAAATTTATTCTGAAAGATAAAATCAAGGAAATAGTGCATATGTGTGCTTTTGAGATTGTTTGATCTTTAAATTTAATTAAAAGATCCATAAATATATCTATATTGTATTTTTAATAAAATTTTAATATTTTTATAAAAATACACATATAATTCACTCTTTCAAAAATTAAAATTACCATCTATAGCATAAAAATCAGATGAATTGTTACCACTAAAATAGAAATGGGCCAGATAAATGACTTAGTGACAGAACCTATATCTGCCATATATGAGGTCTAGTAATTGATCTCTGATACTCTCCAAATACATACATACAAACACAGAGAATTTGTTACTGGGTTCACGGGTGCTGATGGGGAGTCAACATGGTTCTTTTGTTGACTTGGTGGTCACTAGGGTGCTCACATGCTTGAAACTAAGGAGCAAGATACAGAACAGCTCTAGCATGACACCCAAATATCTCATTTCCTATCCACCTTTATTCACAAGCTGGTACCTTTGAGCAGATTTTAACTTTCACTCATTCTATTATAATAACTACATCCATCACTAATGAACCCACTTTGTCTCGCAGACTAGGCTTTTCTCATTCACTGTGATATCACTAATACTTCCTGACACATAAGAAGTGTCCAATAAATATTTTCATTAAAGAAATCATATATATCTGAATTTCCAGAAAGAATATTCATGTTTTCACAAATTGAAAGTTGAACATATGCTGCTAAGTAAATTTCTCACACGGCAAAAATACCACATTTTGTTTTGTCTTTCCATCATGAGGCTGAAAACCACATCAGGTAGGAACTCCTCAGAACTCTGCATCTCTTTATATCCAGAGTACAGAGTCCCGAGAACAGAGTAGGGAAGATCTAAATTTAAGATGGTACTCTCCTTTTTCAGGGTTCTCCCATAGAACTATGTCACCCCCAAAGATTAGTCTTTTGAGGAATAAACTCTGTTTTCTACTCATTCTATTTCCTTCTCTTACATGATGATGAAATAAAGCAGATACCGAAAAACAGCTTAAATGGTTCCCAGAGCCTTTTATAACAGCTAATTCAGTTTCCATCTAACAATGTCTATAAATTAGCAGTATAGGAATCAGACATCATCATAGCTCCTACCTTGTGATGGTGGAAGAGGAAGTGGAAAGTGAAATGCTAAGGAATTTTGTTAACTAAATTGTTCATTTTCAATCTCAGCTGCATGAGACATAGTCAAACAGAAAATGATTTGGAGCTCAGATAGATTAAGGCATAAAAGAGGGTACAGGTCAGGTTAGTTTCTGTGCCTGGGCAGAAAAAGCAGTTCTCACACATGTGCAAGTATCTAGAAACCAAAGGAAAAGTCAAGAAGACAAGAGCATTGGACGCCAATACCGGGAGAGCCATCAGAGAGCTCCAGCAACCCACTGACTGGCCATCAGGAACATCAAGTAATATGGAAGCCATATCAATGAGCATGACTGGGACCATTGAGGAACAGATAAGCAGGGTTCAGACCAGGGGGTTCAGGAACATGTACGGACGGGACTAGCCCGAAATCGGTGTGAGACTTGGCCCCTGTCCGTTGTGAGATTGGGAATATAGAATGACAGAAGTGAACCAACTAGGGCTGTACAATAAAGGAACTACAAAACCAAACATCTCTTGAGTTGGTTCACTCATTTTTGCCCAGGACTCCATCCATGGAATTTATGCCAAGGTGAAAGTCCTATGGACTATTTTATGATGAACTGCCAAGTGTTGGTCTCACTTAAGAAAGCATTCCCTGAGTGGCCTGTGTGATAATATAGCAGGTAGGGAGCTTGCCTTGCATATGACAGACCCAAGTTCAATCCCTGGATCACATATGGTCCCCTGAACCTGCTAGGAGTGATCCCAGAGAACAGAGTAGGAGTAAGCCCTAGTATAGCTGGGTGTGCCCCTGGCAAAAAAAAAATAAATAGATAAATAAACAAAAACAAAGATTTCTCTGGGACCAAATTGATAGTACAGTGGGTAGGGCATTTGTCCAGCACTCAACTGACTGGGGTTCAATCCCTGACACTCCATTTGGTTTCCCAAGAACCTCTAGCAATTCCTGAGTACACAGTCACTAGAAAACCCCGAGCACTGCCAGATGTGACCAAAAAAGAGCAAAAGAAAAAAATATTTTCCCAGGTGGGAATTTGCAACTTTAAGTTTATGTTGTTTGATGATAGAAAAAGAACTGGAGGTATATGAGAATACTTCTAGACTCTTGACATAAGGTCAATATTTCAGTTCACTGACCAGTCCACAGTCAGCATCATTCCTCTCCGGATCAAGAAAAAGAAACATGTTTGAAGAAAAACCTAATACTTTTCAGGAAATTAGATTTCCAATGCCAGTTTTGGCAAATCATATATTTAGAGATTTAATGTGTACTACCTAGTGATTCCCTCAAAGCCTTAAATAATCTTGAAAATAATCTTGAGTTACAAATATTTCTATGGTAGCAAATAAAGTAAAATAAATCCCGTCTTGATTTCTCTACCAACACTCTTAGCCTGAAAGAAAAACTCTTATAGGAATCAAGGAAGGTCTTAGTCAAGGATGAAAGCCTTAGGAAGAAGACAGATGAGAGAGCTAAGAAGCAGGGCAGAGAAGTAGATGGAGAAAAGAAGGGGGAGGAAAAAGAGAACTGAGGAGGAATAGACAGTACTGCTGGAAAAATAACCAGAAACCTAATATCATAGGAATTAAATCCCTGCAGTCCAGATGCAGGGATCATGAGACCCACATAACATACACGATGTATTCAAGAAATTCCCCAGAATTTAAAACACAATTAAAGGAAAGAGATATTTTAGGTGCTCAAGTAAATTTGGGAAAGAAGAAAATAAAGTTTAGAGGCACATTACTAGCATTCAAACTCAGTATTTGACTAGAAGATAAAGAAATCTTTAACAAAAGATAATTGATAGGAGCTTGATTCTGGCACCTTAGACCACCTGGCCATCCTGACACACCTGAGTTCGATTCCTCCACCCCTCTTGGAGAGCCCAGAAAGCTACTGAGAGTATTTTGCCCGCATGGCAAAGCCTGGCAATCTACCTGTGCCGTATTTGATATGCCAAACATAGTGACAATTGTCACAATGGAGACTTTACTGGGCCTGCATGAGCAAATCAATGAACAATGGGAGGACAGTGACAGTGACAATTGATAGGAAGTCCTAAGAATGCACACAAACCCCATTACAATGACCCCAAAAGGTGGATAATAGGTTTCAACTTTATAAAATACTCCAAAAGACTTCATATCACTGAATGTATAAAGTTGACTGTTGCTAAAATATAGTAACCTCCCAGCTCCCCTAGATAAAGTACTTTTGTTTGTTTCTGAGCCACGCCCAGAGAGGGATGTTCAGGGGTGACTCCTGGCTCTGCACTCATGGGTCACTTCTGGCAGCAGTGGAGATATATATATTCACTATTTTATTTTTGGAGTGAAAAAGAAACATGTTTAATCCTTGAAGAAGTAATGTTAAATAATCAGAAAAGGAGCCGGTTGCTGTTTAAATGAAGGTAACAGAGACTCCCCAAGATTCCTCCCTGGGACACTCACAGTAAGAACAGCCGTAGACTTCGATTCGGAGCCCGATGCGACCCTCTCCGTTCCAGTCGAGAGGTACCATCCGCACGTAGCGGGCGACCACCGCGTGCTGTAAGTCGTGCCGGACCACCCCGTCCGAGTTGGTGTTCCCAGGAAACGCCTGGAGAGAGAAACGGGATGTTCCAGTTAGTCGTTTAGAAAGAAACGCTTTATGGGCTGAAATGAACTTAAAATAGTCTAATTTCGAAGTGGGATTTTACGTTCCTCACACCAAAAAAGGATTTAAATTCTAAACCTTCTCTAATATTTTCTTTCCTTTTTTATTGGAAAAGCCTCAGCTTTACTGCATGGATAAAGTGAAGTGCCCCACTGGGCTCTCTGTCCCTGCATTGCTCAGCTGGGTACCAAATGCCTGATTGTCTGGTACTTGTCTCAAAGGTGTTTATGGGGCAGCAGAGCTACTGGCATTGGGGAGGCCATGCAATGCTGAGGATCAAACTCCGGGTCCCATGCATGCCTCTAGCACAAAGTCTATCTCCCCTGCCGACAAGTTCAGTTTTCAATGGGAACTGAAGTCCCCAAGGTTTCTTCCATATGGGTGAATCCAATCATGTGAAAAGAATAAAGCATTCTACAGCACCCACTGTATCAGACAATGCACACTTAAATTGGGACTTCTGGTATTTTGTATTTAAAGTATACAATAAACAATTACAGAATTCAATCTTATTTCTTCGCTTTAAAAGTCCATTATCTTGATGTTGAATACTTTCAACATAAGTTAATATTTAAAAGAAAAGCAAAATAAACAAACTAAAACAACAACAACAACAAAAACACCCAACTAAACATGTTGGTAAAGGTGAGGTTTTCCACTTTCCATTGGCACAAAGACATTTTGAAAGTTTATCAGTAGATCAAAAACTTGTTAATTCAATTCTTTCCATTTACAGAAATTTGGTCAAAAGAATGAATTCCTATGCATTTTATATGTTGTTGATACTTTACATTATCTATATTACCAGCAGAGAGTAAGTGGATTGTTAGTCTTCACTCAGCCAACATGTCTAAATCATTTATCAGACAATAAATACAGAGCAAGAAATATGTACACGTAAGCCAAAATAAATATGTCCCCCCAAATTACAATTTAAGAATGAGGAAAATACTAGTAAAAACAGTATAGGGAAGATATAATTAAGATCCTCATATTTTACTATCATTAAGTAGATACTGTAATCATTAATTCCATATAAAACAAGTAATTAGAAATAGGTTTATTTTAAGCACCAACTTTTTTTGTTCTTGTGTCACACTTGACTGTGTTCAGGACTTATCCCTGGGTCTGTGGTCAGAGATCACTCCTGTCAGGACTCAGGGAACCTTGTGGGGTCAAAGGGATTGAATCCAGATTGCCCCCAAGCAAGATAAATACTGACTGCAATATCTCTACAGCTCCACACACCAGCGTTTTTTAATATCACAGAGACATTCTAGCCATACCAATATCAGAAAGCTTAAGTTTTGTAAAACTATTTTATTAGATCCTCTTTTGTATTTCTTTAAATGGTCTCTTAAATGTCAGAATATTTTTTAGTGGAATGTTCTTTTTAATCATTAAAAGTTGAAATATAAGCACCCATTCTATCTCCAGTGTATTGTATTCTTGACCTGATCATATAAATTCACTCCTATCTAAAGCAAATTTAATACTGTTTTTCAAAATTCCTTTCTACAAGGAATTTTAAAGATACAACACTGCTAAGAAGCAAATAAATACATCTTTAAAAATTCTCATTGGAGGCTAGGTGGCATATATTTTATAGAATTAACATTTTTTGTTTTGATGTACACAATTACCATATCTCACCACTGTCACAAAACTTCCCCAAACCCTCTACCAATGTCATCTTCCTACTTGTAGCAGAGGACATATATTTAATACTAATACTTAGCTTTACTATGAAAGATTAGAGTTTGATTTCAACATAAGGAATTTTAACCCTTTTTGTATTCCTGTTCCACAAAATGTAAGGCTGACATTATAGGGAGATATTGGAAGATTTGCTCAGAATCTAAATGATATAATATTGAAATGGCTCCAGAAATCTGCATTTGGGTAGAGTCCTTCTTGTTTTTTTGGAAGGTGGGGTGCGTATTCATGAGATATCATTCCTGCTGCATTTTCCTTAGCTTTCCTAAGCAGCATAATAACAGTATCACTTCAGACAAGTCACTCCCTTCTTTTTGCTTTCATTACACATAACTATTTGGGTTTTTGATCTTGAATCTGAACACTTAAAACACAGCATCTTTTTGGCACCCTGCTGAAAAACATTGATCAAGAAAAGTAGTAAAGATTTTTTTCCTTTTTTTTTCAAGCCAGCTTTTAACTTCACAAACAAACCACATATCTATTTTATTACACCCTTCACAAATTCATTCATATCTGAGTTCCTGCTCTGCACCAGAGACATTCAAATCACTGGGGTACCGGCACGAACAGTGCAGACTTTCAGATCTCTTGACTTTTATGTTATTAAAGCATATGGAGGGCAAATTGGGGTCAACTATAAATAATACAGATGCAACAAATATGTATATTGTAAAAGAACATAAATATTATTTATCTGAAATATTCAGAGAAAATCGAAAGGCTCCTGAGCATAATGTTTGTGTTCAGGGAACAGGAGGACGTTGGTGGTATTGGGGGTTCAGTGAAGAAGGTGGGGAGGAGCTTAAGAGCAAGTGGTCAGAGTAAGGATATGTAAGGTCCCCTGGGACCCCAGGGAAATTCCAGAGCTAAATTCTGCTAATTAGTAACTCTTCCTTACCTTCCCTCTCCCTAGTAGAGCCCTGAGCTCCACTGTTGACTCTTCTTAATTGAGATGTAAATTCTGCCTCCACTGTTGACTCTTCCTTATCTGCCCCTCCACTAGTAACTCTCCCCTCATCCCCCTCCACCAGAATGCAGGTGTCCTGAGCTGTAAATCATGGGGAGCCAGGGGTAGACATAGAAGATAACAAGATGTCTGAGTTATGAGATACCCGCTAGCCACAATGCCCATGTAAGTGAATGCTGATCTTTGAATCTATAGGCTAAGAAGTGATGTGCTTTTAAATGGATTGGTTAAAAAAGTATAGGTCGTTACGAATCTATTGGCCACGAAATGCGCAGGGTCGGCTGTAACGGCCAGTGAAGGCCTATATAAGATCTTCTTTGAAGAAGCTTGGGGTCTTGCCTGACGGCTTGACCCTGGCTAGCCAGCTCAATAAACTACCTGCTTACTGAATGCATTCCTGTGTAGTCCTTGCTTGTGGTCGGAGATCCAGAGCTGTGCCCTAACAGATGGCCAAGGTTTTCTGGAATGGTGCAGATTTCATTGGAGTTTTAAGCAAAGCATACAGTAGGTAGGGCATTTGCCTTGCATTCGGCTGACCTGGCAACCCGAGTTTGACTCCTCCGCCCCTCTCAGGAGAGCCCCAGAAAGCTACCGAGAGTATCACATCCTCACAGCAAAGCCTAGCAATCTACCCATGATGTATTCAATATGCCAATGACAGAAACAGCAAAGTCTCACAACGGAGACCTAACTGGGACCACTTGAGCAAATCGATGAACAACGGGGGGACAGTGCTACAGTGCTACACACACATACACACACACACGCACACACGCTAAAAGATTGGAGATGAAAACACTTCTCAATAAGTTAATCTACCTCGAGTGCTGGGAGAGAAGGCCGCTGAGATAGAGAAGGGACCACTATGAGAATGATGGTTGGAGGGTTCTCTCGGAAAGGGTGATGTATGCTGATTACAAAGAACCAAATGTGATATCTCCTCAGTATCTGTACTGCAAACCATAATGCCCCAAAGCAGAGAGAGAATAAGAAAGAAAGTGTCTGCCACAGTGGCGAGGGGTTTGGGTGGGGTGGAGGGTGGCGGGAAGTATACTGGGGACATTGGTGGTGGGAAATGTACAATGGTGGAGGGATGTGTGTTGGAACATTGTATGACTAAATCCCAATCATCAAAGTTTTGTAACTATAATATCTCACGGTGATTTAATAAAAAAATTGAAAAAATTAAATTAATCTGTATTCCTAGGAGATTCACAGGAAACTAGATAGTAATATGAATACTACTAGATTGAGTGGAACGGTTCTCAGTGCTGGCTGGGGCTGGGGAACTGGGAGTCGTTCTGATGGGAGTAGGGACCTTGAAGGAGAAGCATCAAACAGTACTCATTGCCTAGCCCTCAGGCACCTACAGGAAGCAGAGAAAGAAATTCAAACATAGAACTGCTGGAATGAGGTGCTCTAAACACAGTGCTCCCTCAGGTCACTTGTAACTCTGTTCACTTGTAACAGAGAGACAGAGGAAGAGAAAAGCCAGGCAGGAGTATCTAGGAGAACCTAGCTCCAGCTTCTACATTCAAAGCTTCCTAAGGAGAACCTCTGGGCTTTTCTATTGTTTGGTTTGTTTCTTCCTTTGTTAACACTTAAGTAACAGACTATTCACTGTCACTTCACTGTCCTTCCGTTGTTCATCGAGTGGGCCCAGTAACATTGTGAGACTTGTTAACTGTGTTTGCCATACAGAATACGTCACGGGTAGCTTGCCAGACTTATTAATAGCAGTAAATGCATTTGAGGAAAAAGAGATAAAGATTTAAATATACTGTGTTTTACATTTCATCACTAAATTAAAAGATAACACACAAAAGAAACTGACTTGGTAGTGTTTTTTTCCCCCCTTAAAGTTCTCAGGGAAGGAACACTCATCGGCCCAAATCGGATGTTTACATTTGAATAGATGTGGCTCACTGCCTGCAGTTTCTATCTTCGTTGTCTACGCACCAACATCCCATTATGATGAAAGAGAAATCGAGAATTTCTACATGGAGCTGGAGAAGTTCTATAAAGAAGACCACACCTTCTACAAGATCATCGCGGGTGATTTTAATGCCAAGATAGGACCGAGAAGATCAGCTGAAGAACTTCACATTGGGACCCATGGCCTAGAATGGAACGAACAGGGTGAGAGAGTGTCTGAGTTCATCATGTCGACCAAGACCATCCATGGTAACTCACAGTTCCAGAAGGCAGAATCTGAACGTTGGATATGGGAGTCTCCCGGTGGATGATTCCACAACGA